ATATCATATAGGAGGTTTACAATGCATCAAAGAAACATATTTTCAATATTATTAATCGATTACATTGTGAAATAATCGATTATATAGTCATGAAAACCCATTAATCGATTAAGAATGAGATTAATCGATTAATGAAGTTATAATAGCTAACAACTTGAATTTCTTGGTATTGTTAATCGATTAAGCATCAGGTTAATCAATTAAGTTCAAACGAAAATATATATTTTTCAAACCCGTTAATCAATTAAACTAAGGGTTAATCGATCAATGTCTATTGGAACCAAATTTTTATAAAAGTTGTTTGTCTACCCATGTGCTTATAGAGTGGCATTTCAAAATTTCATATCATATTCATATAATTATCTGAATGAAAATTGTGTTCAAAAGTTTTAAGAGTTTCTTTGATTTTCAAGACTGAAATGAGATTATTTTTACAATATTTGCTTAGAGTGCATATTGTTTTCATATACACAAACCTTGCATCAATCATCACTTAGAGTTTAGGTTTTTGTAAGATTTTTGTCTTTAGGTTTGTAGTTGAGTTCAATGTTCTATTAGCACTTACTAGGTGCATCAACTCAATTTTGTATTAGTCATTGTAATTGAGATTCTCTAAGTATAGAGAATTATAGGGAAATCCTAGCCGATGTTAGGTAGTGAGTCTTCACCTTTACAAAGTTCTTGGTTGAGAGGAAGCAGCAGTTAAGGCTATACCGTGAGTAGATGTTAAGTATCCGAAAGGACGGGTTGGAGGTCAAACCGACTTGAGTGACTCTAGGGCCAATAAAGGAGCGTTTGTAAAGTGCATCGGAAGTGTGTTTGTAACATACGTTTTATTCCACAGTGAAGAAAAATCTTCTGTGATCAGAATGGGAGGTCCGGATGTAGTTTACAAGTGGACCCGCAAACGAAACAGGATAAAATTATTTGGCATACTATTCTATCCCTTTATCTCTTTTAATTTCAGTTTTTACACGTTTTTTGTTTTTATTGAATTGATTATTGATTCCTGTAATATGTTATTATCTCCACATAATCTGAGATATTTTATTTAAGCAACATGAACCTCTAAAGAACTGTACCTGGGATAACTTGTTTTGCAGGAAACTAATTTTTTCATGATTTTTGATTCAGGTTAATTGATTAAACATGTGATTAATCCATTAAGTCTTTATATCTTTAATCGATTAAGTACTCTGTTAATCGATTAAACTGCTTGTATTTTCAATATTTGTGTAAGCCGAAAAAGCGGTAGTTAAGGACTGCTACATCTATTCACCCATCTAGGCGTCTTTACTACTGGTTACCCAACATGTAAAAACATGTTCAATCCTTGAGGGAGAACCCTCATTTATCCTAATTACAAGAGAGTAGGCTAAGCCCATCAAAACAAATCTAAAAATCTGAAAAATAAGAGCAAAATCAAGCAATCCACGACCATGGGTGGACACGGCCTGGCCGTGGATCTTGCCTTTATTGAGTGGTCTTCAACATCCTGAAAACTCATGGCCGTGGGTGTTGGACACAGCCTAGTTACACGACCTGTGGGCGGTGGACACAACCTCACACATGACCTAGGATTCAAAATCAGTGATGCACGACCGTGGTTTATGGAACACGACTTTGGGTGGTGGAACACGGCCATGTGCCCAGGCATGGACTGGGTGTGTGTGGCGCCTTCACTTCAAGGTAACTTCTCTTCGATCCAGGCTCCAACGCGACTTCTTTTGGTCCTTCTATTGGTATTCGCATTGCCTCAACATCGACTTCCATCTTATTGCACCAATCTCTACTCTTTTTTGCTTCAATCCATCCATCCTACATAACATAGCCAAAAAATACCCGCTCATCCCGAACAAAGAGAAATAAAAGCTAAAAATAATCCTAAAGTCCTAATTATGTCATAGAATGCAAGTTAAATGCAAATGCAATAAAATTTCATACTCATCAAATCCCCTCAAGCTTATCTATTTCTTGTCCTCAAGCAAATATTATGTCTAACTTTCACAATCATGTATGAATGACGATATAGAAACCATGACTAAAATAACAAACATGCTCATTATAGTTTTGAAATAGTCTAGAGATTAAGACATGACACTCATAAATAAATTTAGTGCAAGCTAAGCCTTTGAATCATAACAAGTGTATGGATTAAGGTCACTCTTCTCTCATCATTGTCATGTGTTTAGGGGTTGTTCTGTTTCACTCAAAAAATTTCATGAAAGTAAATTACCATAGGCTTGATTATAGACCAATTCGTCACTGACTGTATTTGAATACATGCAAAAATCAAGAGGTCTTTAAATGGTTGTAATGAGGTCAAGGTGAATGATTTAAGGTAGGACAAACAAAGAAAGGGAAAGTCAAAAGGCTTACAAATTGTTCCCCAAAATACTTAAAACTTACATTCGATTGAGGCATTGAGATTATCTTAAATAGGCATTATTTTGTCATATGGTCCTTTTTTTATCAACCTTTCTCATTACAGCAAACTTTTTCAATCATTTCTCTTTCAGTGCACTTTGAATTTTTTCATTTTTTTTATTCATTCTTATGATTTTCTAAAAGAGAAAGGATGAAATATTTATTTTTTACTTTTTTATGTATTCTTTCACTACACATATGACCTTTTTTACATTTCTCATTGCTTTAACCAAATATCCCAAATTAACTCAAAAATCCTTATTTGAGTAGATATAAAGAAATTTTAAAGTTCAGGCTCAAAAGTGGGCGATTAACTAGTTTTCATTGTTTATAGCAAGCGGCTGAAGGTCAAAAGAAAAAGTCGTAATTGGCTCTATTATTTTAATGCACATAGACATACTTCAATACTGAAACGATCACAAATTAAGTTCTAGAATGTACAACCATAGAAAATTATGTACTCATGAAAGAAGAACGATTATTTTGTAATTATCAATTCAAATTAGAACCCTTATTGTGTTTGGTCCAAGTTTCTCACATTTGGTAAATTCAGCATAAATTATGAAATAAAGACTTTTGATCAACTAATTTTAATTCACAATTGCTAAATCTAATATCCTTATGTAGTTATTATACCACAAGGTTTCCAATGGGGGTCACATATAATCAACAACCATCATTCATGTATACTTTTTCAAACAAATAGACAACACATAGAACAAACGAGGAGATAGATGAGACATGGAACTTATGTCAATGCATGATAACATGAATATTCAATCTAAAAGAAAATTAAAATCTATATGGTATGCATTGAAATTGCAAGAGGAGTCAAATGTTGCAAGTTTGGTCAAGTCATATGGTTTGATGAAGACAAGGATTTTAGGAAAGCTTGAAGATGACAACAACTGTACAAACAACATGCCAAGACTCAAGGCCATCTTAGTCTTAGGGAAATCTTTTTTGTTTTATATAAGTCCTAAGATGATTGCTTAGATTGAGTCTAGGTTAGGTAAACCTAGGATGAAAATATCACAAGGCTTAAACTTGATTTTATCTAAAATGAGACATATCATACATCCATTACATGATTATGTGCATAAATATTTTAGATTCATACATTGCATTCACATATATTATATAGGAGGTTTACATTGCATACAAAGAAATATATTTTCAACACTATTAATTTATTACATTATGTATTAATCGATTAAGTAGTCATGGAAACCCATTAATCGACTAAGAATGAGATTAATCAATTAATAGAGTTCTAGTAGCTAACAACATGAAATTCTTGATCTTATTAATCGATTAAGTATGAGGTTAATCCATTAATGAAGTTATAGTAGCTAAATGACTAGAATTTATTGGTCTTGTTAATCGATTAAACTTCAGGATAATCGATTAAGTTCAATAGAAAATAATTGATTCTAAAACCCATTAATCAATTAAACAAAGAGTTAATCAATTAATGTTTGTTAGAACTAGTTTGTTTATAAAAGTTGTTTTTCTACCCATAAGCTCATAGAGTGTCATTCAATTTTTTTTTACATAATTCAAAAAAATCGCTGAGCGAAATCTTATGTTGGAATAATGTTCAAAGTTTTTTTGTTTCATTAAAAGTGAAAAGGGGAATAGTTTTTACTATCTTTTCATTAGAGTGCATATAGATTTCATTGTTACACAAACCTTGCATAAATCTTTACTTAACCTTTAGGTTCTTGTGAGATTCTGTTCTTAGGTTAGTAGTTGAGTTCAGTGGTATATTAGCACATACAAGGTGCATTGTAACTCAATCTTGATTTTAGCCATTGAAGTTGTAATTCTCTAAGTTTAGAGAAGTTGTGAAATCCTACGTGGGGTTAGATAATTGTATTGTAGTTTTTCATCTTTACAAAGGCCTTGGCTGAGAGAAATTAGCGGCTGGAGCTATACCATGAGTTGGTATTTACTATCCGATAGGATGGGTAGGACGTTAAACCATTTGGAGAGTCTTTAGGGCCAAGAAGGAGCATTTGTAAAGAGTAATTGGAAGTGGGTTTGTATACATACATTGATTACATAGTGAAGAAAAATTTCCCAAGATCATAAGGGGAGACCTGAATATAGTTTGCAAGTGGACCCGCAAATGAACGAGGATAAAATTATTTGGCGCACTCTTCTATCCCTTATCTCATTTAAATTCAGTCTTTATATGCTTTAGAGTATTTTCTTGATTGCTTATTGATTGGTGCAACTTGTTTACAATATGCTAATATTTTCATTAAGCAATTGAATTTGTAAAGAACTGTTTTTGAGTTAACTTGGTTTACAAGAAACTGTTATTTTCAAAGATTTTGGTTTCAGCTTAATCGATTAAACTTGTTGTTAATCGATTAACACGTTCTGTATTTAATCGATTGAACACTCTTGTAATCGATTAAACTAGTTAAATTTTCAATTCTTGTGTATATCGGAAAAATGGTATTCGAGGACCGCTACAACTATTCATCCCCCTCTAGGTTTCTATATATGTGTGGTTACCTAACATGCATCATATGAATGAACTATCTAAATGCAAAATACCCCTCAAGCTTAGAAATTAACGTTATCCCCATTGAAAAATCTGAACAAGAGGAAAAAGAAAAAAGAAAACTCACAGGTTAGGCGGGAAACGTCCCTGACTTATGTTCCAGTTAAAGATGGATTCTACTATTGGGTGCAGCGGAAATACCTACAAAAGAAGAGAAAATGGCCTAAATGAATTATGTGTCCTAGACGGACCAGGTGCAAAAACCGGTTTTGAATGGGGCCAACCAATGTTTCAGTCCTAGACACCAAAATTCGTTAAAAAGTACATGATAGTGTCCTGAGACATGACCTGACTATGTGTGCTCTAGAACACACTCGTTGGGCCACTATTCCACACACGACCATCCATGCCTAGTGGCACGACCTGACTGTGTTAGCCATCCCTTTTTATTTTTTATTTTTTATTTTTTGTGTGACCGACATTATATACACCCCTTGTAAAGGCTCTGAATTTAGGGAGACACTAAAGCCGACACTAAAACACTAAAATTAATGAGCTAGGAAAAAATGGACCTTGAACACGAGTTGTCTAATATGAAGCGCCTGTTTAACGTCATTAGCTTGACGATTTATCCTTGCAGCTTATGCAGGATCCCATGAATTCATACCTGGGGGTGGAGGGAGTGTTTTTACTTTTGTTTTAGGTGCTTTCCCTTTCTCCCAATCATCAGATTTAGGTGTGACCATCAAGATTTCTTCTTGCAGGTTGTAAGGGAGTGTTGAGCTTGTATTTAGAGATTTATTGACCTCGGTTACTTTCTCATCAAAATTCGAAGTGTCACCTTTCAGCATGCATTTCTCCTAGAGATCTTTAGATTTGACTTTAGCTACTTCCTCCTTCACTATTTGGGGAAACCGACCAATCCTGCAACATGAGTTTTCAAGAGAAGGTTGTTTAATAGATTTAGCAATATCAAATTCAACCTTTTCATGACCTATGTTCTCTTCTTCATCACAACTTTCATATCCTCCCAAGTATCAATTGGATCCTCTCTAACTCTCATTCTTTCATCTTGAAACTGGTTCAACCACAAAAGAGCATACTCTTTGAATTCCAATGCTACCACATTCACCTTCTTTCCTTCATTGTAATTATTGCAATAATAAAATTGCTCCATTTTTAACTCCACTCCAAATAATCCCCATGATCATTCCTTCCAACAAAAGAAAGGACTTTGATTTTGACCCCTACTCTATCATCATCACAGCTCCTTTCCTTATGCCCTCCTCTCCTATGCCTTCCTTCTCTCGACCTCCTTCCCCTATCACTTTCATAGTCACTTGAATCACCATTTTGATGGACCTCAAGCTGCCTTTCATAATCAGTCCTTATTTGCTTCGTTTGTCTTTGGAGGACTTAAAATTGAGTTATTATCATAGTTTGTGAGGTTGTTGTCCTTCGAGACAAAGGTGGACTATCTTTTTAATTTTCCATTTCTCACTATACTCTCTCACTTTGTTTTCACTCATCATCTCCACGTATTCTTAGTTGAATCAAGCAACCAAAAATTAACCAAAAGACCAATGACTAAAATCACACAAACTTACGAAAATAAAAAGGCTAAAATATTTGTTTTTTATGAGAATCGAATTACTCAACAAGACTTGACTCGTTTTCTTTTTCTTTTTATGGGAATGATAGTATGATAAAATAATGCAGAATAGACTAGAAATTAAGGCGCCTTAAACAAGTACTTGTTTGATAAGCCAAAGTGAAGTTCGACACAAGAAATTTGGGATTTTTTATAAGAATAATATATTAGTTCAACCAAGACCATAAGAGAACAATGCTTACTAAAGTGGATAATTTCCAAAAAAATTCAACTTGTTTATTTCATGAAGAAACACGACTACAAATAGATGTGTGGTTGGCCAAACATGGCTTCCACGAAATACAAAAAGAAAACATCAATTGAATTGCCTAATTAAGACACTAAAAGACCAACTAATGGCTGACCAACTTAGGATTTCGTCTACTTACTATTTCCATACAGTTACCTCACATGAAACACACCTCACAACATCACTAAATGGCTGGCCAACTTAAGATTCCATCCAACCACTCATTCACACGATTGCCTTGCATGGAATTCACCTCACAATAGTTAGAAACCTCACTCATTTGGCCATTATGAGCTTCCAACGGCTGGCAAGCAAGTTACACACTAAAACACACATAACTACATCATAAATACACGGAAACCACAAGCCATAAAGCACACACCACTCTTCTTTCCCTTATAAATATGGCAATTATACTTTGAACTACACATGAAATTACAAGGCTTTATTTCTAATCATAAACACATGAAGATGCCTTATTCTATGTTGATAAAAAACTAGTGAGCCATGGATGAATGTGGGCTGCCCACAATGTACACGGTCCAACTTGCAAAATTCTTACTTTTGAATGCAAATTTGATGACTTGGCTTGAATTTACACTTCCTCTTCAAACACGTGACCTCCATCTTGTTCTCCTACTTGAATGATACAATTTGTCCACTTGAAATATTCATGAATTATTTTTGAACATGCGTCCATAATGAGTCCAAGTAGTTGGTCGAGTGCTTGTTGTGCCTTCTTTGCCCTTGTCCTAGTCATAGGGTCTCCAAGACCTTGAATGACTTCGTGATCAACATTGGGCTCCAATGGGCTCACATCACCCAAGTAAGGATTTATTCCATTTTACATATCGTCACCACTTTCAACAAACACAACATAAAACACATTATTCTAATATTTTCATTTGGCCTTGAGATATAAACATGACGAAGTCCAATACACATCTTCTTTTATGTTGTTTAAGTTCAATTTTAACTAGAGATGACAAAACAGAAAGTCCGACCCATTTTCCCGTGTCTATAATATGCCCGCAAAACTTAAGCGAGCAACCCATTTTAAAACGGGCAAACGGGCATGCGGACAGCCCGCAGGCCATAGCTAAATTACTAACCCATTTCCTTCATGCTAATTATAAATATGTTTTCTTCATATTCTTCTTTTTGTATAGTTCATGCGGTGAAGGAAGATTATATATCTATTCTTATTGTTGCTTAGTTAACCCTTAATGGTGCTATATTCAAGGAGATGAAAAAGAGATTGATCATAACCCCCGTTTTCTTCATATCCTTCTTGAGGAAATTGCTAAGAGTGAAACCAAAGATAACATTATTAGAACCTAATTTATATCTCAAGGACACAGTTGAACACTAGAACTTGTCATGATTATTATTGCACAATCCAGCTGCAAGAAGATTGAGTAATAAATTGAAAAACATTCATAATCATAACCATTGAATTGAGAAAAATTGAATTGGGGAGATGAAAGAAATGAAGAATGGGAGAAGAATGAAAGAAATGAAATGGAAGGATGCAAGAGCGTAGGGATGACAACAGGGAGAAACGGACATAACTAGGATTTTTCGTACTCATACTCATAATATTTACAGGTACCTGTGCGTGTGACGGGTATATGCGAGTACACAATGAGTTTTTAAATTTAAATGTATATTTATATATTTTGTAATAATCAATATATATAAAATAATTATTAAATGAATAATAAATTTTATGTATATGTTAAATATATCATTATGTTTTAATCACTAAAATTCATTATAAAATAATAATAAAGTAGAGAATATAGTTATAAAATAATAAAAAGTGTAATACATATAAAATATTTAATTAATTTTTATTTATAAATATGCGAGTACCCGTAGGGTAAGTATCATAATACCCGTTCCCACACATAAGTTATTTTTGCCAATATCTATTGTAGGTATTTTAGCAGGTACACACAGTGCAGGTTTTATGTCATCCATTGAAGAGCTTAATGAGAAATGGAATGAAAGTAAGACCGAAATGGAATGAAAATAATTGGAATTGAGAAAATAAAGAAATGAAATGTAAGAAAGGATTATGGACTCAGCCTTCAAGAATGAAAATTGTGGGGGCTTTAATGTAGGCCCACGGACTGCTCATTTAACCCACTTGAAATACCCACAAATTTAAGAGGCAAGTGAGCCAGGCTAAATGGGTTAATGGACAAAATATGGATGTCATGCCTACATTTTTTGCGTACAATGCAGGCCAGCCCACGGGCAATGCTCATATTGCCATTTGTAATTTCAAGTGACATATAACATTTTTTTAGAAGGGAATGAGAATAATAGAAAGTGGTGATCAAATTTGTTGCACAGTCAAACTTGCACCACTTAGGCCACTTTCATCTAAGTTATTATTTTTCTCACAAAAGTTGAATTTTCTCAAGGTTTTGTCCCATTCGAGGTTCTTCTATTTAGGAATACAGATCTGTTACCTCAAATATTATCGCAAGTCAGATCTTACATCAATGATAATGAAACAAAAACATTAATAATAATAAATATTTGATGTCTCAATATTGTCTACAATCATGTCACACCAATGATAAAATAATAATAATAAATGTTTAATTTTTTAATTTACCTACATGTTTTTATTGGCGCGAGACAATATTAGGGAAAACATACTTCCATTGTCTTTTCACCTTAGATCAGGCCACCACAATGGCTTGGAGATGGATTGGTGTTTTGGTGTGGATTTTACCTAGGGATGGCAAAATTACCCTAACCTATGGGTATCCGTCAAAATACCCGCAATGGGTACCCGCAAAAATAGCTTATTGGTGGGAATGATATCATGATACCCACCCCGCGGGTACCCGCATGTATATTTTAATTAAAATATTTTATACTTAACTATTACCAAATTAACAATATATTTATCTATTTTCTTATTACTTCATAATAAAATGTAGTGATGAGACTATAATTATAAAATTATCATATACATATCATATTATTTAAGTAATAATTTTTTATATATTAATTATTGTAAAATATATAAAAATATAATTAAAATTGAATACCCGTTGGGTACCCGCAGATACCCGCTACTCGCAAATAGTGCGAGTATGGGCACGGGTATGCACTATCCGTGCCCGCCCGACCCCGTTGCCATCCCTAATTTTACCAAAGCATAGGGCCTACCGAGATGGGCCTTTCCCACAATATTGGTATATTATGATTCATCACTTTTTATATTAGAGTTAATTACACTGACACCTCTGAGTTTTAGTGAAATTACACGAACCGCTCCTAATTTTGTACATATATTACACTAACCACCCCTGATGAGATATAAGTATAATATTTTAAACAAAAAAACATGTGAGGTGTATAATTAAGTTAAACAAAACATTGTATTTTGTATCGACAAATCCAAATAATATAAGAGTTAATGCATATTTATTATTTGGTTCATTATAAAATATTATAAAGGTTATATAAATATCTCATTAGAATTGTTAATATATTGTGTAATGAAACAAAAATAATAAAAAGACACTCAATTTTGTACTATTTGAAATTGCCTACACAATATATAATATTTTGTTTAACTTAATTATAATCAATACAAAATTACACTTATATATCATCAGGGTTGTCAGCGTAATATATGTATAAAATTGGAGTGAAAATTTCCTATACCACTATTTCTCTATCCCTCTACACCAAACCAATAAAATTATGCTAATTAATGTTGTT